CCTCCTACCTCTGTCCTGCTGGCTCCTTCCCCCTGTGCTGTGGACGTGGGCACAGACATGCCAGTTAGGGAGAGGGAGGGACGGAGCCGCCGTTTTATTTTGAGTGGGTGCTGTCTCTCCCGCCGAGCGACCAGTGCTCCAGGTGCCCACTAGAGGGCAGCAGGGCTCCGAGCTCGGCCGATGTCCGGGCGGATGGCCTGAACCGCGGCTGCCCCCTCGTGGTCAATCTGGGAACGGTTCTCCTCGCCTCGGTGGAGAGGCCACTCTCCCAGGTCCCAACCCAGTGCCTGGGAAGCAGGTTTCCACCAGAAGTGCTGAGCACCCCGGGCTGGCCCCAGGGGTGGGGTGCCAGGTTCTTACTCATAGACGTGGAGGTGGCACTCCTGCCTCAGGAGGAGCTGGGAATCCCCACATTACTGAGATAGACAGGAGGGGGGCAGTGTTGGCATAGAGTCCCATGGGGCACATTTGCCCTTGTCCAGCTCGGCCAGGCTGAGCTCCAGGGCCACGACTGGCTCCCAAGTGCCTTATGTCAGTTAGGGAACAGCACCCTTTCAAGATACCTTACTGCCAAGTACTGGGAAATCGTCCCATTAAGTACACAAGTCTAGAATGACCATCCTGTGAATCTCTGGCCCTTGCACAGCCTGCATCCCTGCGCCCTGAGGCCAACCTGCAGAGCACCACCTGCACCAGGAAGCCGGCAGAGATGCTGCCCCTTGGGGACAAGCAGCCCGGGGTACAGGCACACTGGAAAACCAGAGAGTTTAATAAGGGACAATTTACAAATGTTAGGCAGCATGTAGAGAAGTCAGGAGGGATAGTGCAAGGACCCCCAGGCCAAAGGGGTGAGAGGAGGGTGTGGGCACAGGAGCCTGGAGACGGAAGTGTGGAGAGGGCTGCCTGCCTGGCCCAGGGACCCCCTTTGAGGAGGGAGCTGGGAGGGGCACAAACAGGCTCACCTCACTCTCCTCCCCACCCTTATCTCCTGTCAGGGGCCCCACTGGTTGAACCCAACAGATATCCAGAAGCCTCAGGACCTGATGTCATAGCCCCAGCACAAAGGGGAGAAGCATGGAGGGCGAACCTGGAGGGCGAACGAAAGGCACCCTGTGCTCACCAGAGATGAGGTTGGCCGTGGTGTTGGTGGGCACAAACAAGGTTTGCTCCACCCCTAGCAGCTCAGCAGCCTTTTCCTGCAGCCCTGAGAAGGGGAAAGGGATGGGGGGGCAGGGTTCCATCAACACTGGCACTCGCCCAGAGTCACTTCTGTAAGGGCTCCCCTTGCATTACTCATAACTGTGAGCCCAACTGTCTGAGTGAGGCTCACACCTTGCCTGAGACTGGTACGTGGCCAAGCAGGACTGGAGCCCCAGTCTGCCAGCTGCACAGTCTGGGGTCTTAGTGACCAAGTATCTGGGTCCAGAGGCCCCGTGTCCATCCTCTGTGCCCCACCTCCTCCTGCACCATGGTGCCCCCACATTGAAACTCTGTGGTTTGAACCCCCCTGACCCACCCAGACCTCACACCTGTCTCACTTCCTTTCCCATCAGCCCTTAGCAGGTGGGGCTCTGCGGTTTCCCTGCTGACTTCCTCTCCCAGAACAGGACAGGAGCCTGCACGAGGGGAGACTCTGGGGGGTGGGGGGGAGGGGGTCTTCTGGTTCCTGCTTTAAAGCTCGCTGTAGCTCCCCTCTGCCTGTGCCATCAAGTCTAAAGCCTTTAGCATAGCATTCAAGGCTGGTGGGATCGGGCCTTTGCTTCCCCTTCCAGGGAGAGGGGTGCCCCTGTACCCCACAATCCAGCCACATTCCCTATCCATATCCTGAACTCCTTTCTCACCACTATGCTTCTGCAGTTTCCTGCCCAGTGAGCCAGCACTTCCTTCCCTGCTGGGCAGAAAGGGGGGGGGGCAGGGGGCTTCCATTCAACCTTTAAGAGGACCCCTCTGCGAAGCCCCCAACTCCCTGTGAGTCCCACGCCTCCCTTCACTACCCCCTCCCCCACTCCCCCAGTTCCTAAGGCACTCTCTGTGGATGCCAGTCAGGTCCAGCACCTCCCCCACCCCGTGGCTGGCAGTGACTTTATGCATCAGGCTGCCTGCTGAGCAGTGGGCTCAGTGTCTCTGAAGTTCCAGACAATAGTTGGTGTAGGCTGGGCACATGATCAGCCCCGATCACCACCTGACCCCACAGGCAGGCCCTCAGAGCTCAAGTGACAGCCCTGTGGCTTGTCCCTGGCACAGCTGAGAGCTGTACACATCCCTGCAATAGCAGTGGTTCACTTTGGCAGCACCTGTCAGCCCAGGGTGGGGGTGCTGATCAGGGGTGTGAGTGTGCCTTGAACACACTCCCTAGGTTATTAGAGCTCTCTCCTCGGGAGGTGCAGCCTACGGAGAACCCCCTTTTCTAGATCGCTTTGTCTTCATGTGGGAAAGTGACGGGTACAGGACAATAGCTATAGATTATAGAGTGAGAAGACCTGGGTTCAAATCCTGCTTTGCCGTTTACTAGGCATTGGGCCTTGAGCGCCTCCCTCAGCATCTCAGAGCCCCCTGCTGCAAAATGGGGTAACACCCATCTCATTAGGCCGTAGGGCGACACTTCGATGAGCACACACATCACCTGGTGATCCTGTTAACATGCAGATTCTGGCTCAGCAGGTCCGGTGTGGGACCCAAGAATCTGCGTTTCTACCAGGCCCTCGGGTGATGGGCCTGACTGAGCAGCAAGGATGCAGAGCGTAATGCCTGGTCTGCAGCTCAACCTCCACCCTGGGCCCTGGGCCAACTCTCCCGCCAGCACCACGGACAGCGCTCTGGGGTCCCCGACGACCCCTGGCCCCAGCCTGCACGCCGGGCTCACCGCAGACGTTAGGGTCCTCGCCGTAGTCATCGTCCCCTACGACCGCCTCGGCCATGGCACGCCTCACGGCCGGCCCGGGCTTGGTCATCGTGTCGCTGTGCAGGTCCACCCCGTGCGCCGGGACCCCGGCCCGGCTTCCAGAACCCCGCGCCGAACGGACCCCGTACCGCTGGGCCGCAACCCGAACCAGTCCGCGGAGCATTGCGGGGACAGCGCCCGGGCCCTGGTCCGACCTTCCCAGGTGAGGGCGACCGGGAGTTGCGGGGTCGGCGCGGCCGGACTCGCCACCAGAGGTGGCTGCTGACCCGGGCAGGTGGGAGGGTCCCGCGGCATGCTGGGAGTTGTAGTTCGGGCTTCGCAGCTCCTGGCCCCGTTATATCCAGGGATATGGAAGAGGGAGGGTTCTGCTTACCCAAGTAGAAATCGGGACTGGTCAAGCTTTTATAGCGCAGGCGTTTTACAAATGTTAGCACAGCTAAGCCTCCCAACAGCTCTAAAGGACGAGTACTATTATCATCCCCGTTTTACAGATGGGGACGCATGGAAGCTAATGACCATGCGCCTAAGGTCACTTGGTGAGGAAGTGGCCCATCTGTCTGTCTCTAGAGCCCAGCTCTGAACCACTGTGTTATGTTATCCCTGGAAAGTAGCTTCCCTTCATTTACTTTTTTTTTTTTTTTTGGTTCAGCTGAGCCATCCTGCTACCTGTTGGCAGCTCAGCGGCTGCTCAGCTCGGGCTGGACTCGAACCGCTGTTGCTCAGAGCTCAAACTCTTGAGCGAGCTCTTAACCAACTGAGCCACTCGGCCGGCCCTCATTTACTTTTTTCAATACAGATTTGTTGAGCATCTATTGCATGCCCAGCGTTGCGCAGGTGCTAGGCGGAGGGACACAGCGATGATGCAACCAGCCTGAACGTCTGACTTCATGGGCATAATGGGTGCAGAATTAGAGGTCTGCATAGGGAGTCCCCTCCTCCATGCCCCTGCCCTTGAGAGGCAGTGCAGGGTAGCGGTGAAGGGACAGGCCTCCCTCCGAGTGCCCAGCCCCACTTGGCCGCTCCCCTTCCTGGAGAATGGACCATCTCTCGTGGTCCTCAGGAGGAAATCGGTCCCAGGGAGCAACAGCTCACCAGAAGAGGTACCCACAGCTCCAGTCAGGGCACCGCTCAGCAAAGAGGACACCCATCCTTCATTAGACAATGACCTTCGTCAGAGCTCTGCCATGTGCCTGCTCCAGGTCAGCCTGGGGCAAAGGGGGGCCAGGGCAGCCTTCACGTGGAGCTCAGGTTCTTGGGGTGGCGGCAGGATGCTGCCCAACTGAGGGGCACTTGGAGGGAGGATGCCAGCCCCAGGGAGAAGCTGCAATGGGCCTGGCCAAGGCATCTGGGCAGGCTTCCTGGCGGAAGCAGTGATTAGGCTGAGATTTGAAGACAGACAAAGGCAGAGGGAACAGTGCCCCAGGCTGAGGGAACAGCATGGGCAAAGCTCAGGATTGGAGGCAGCTGGAGCATTTGAGGCCCTGGAAGAAGGACAGCTGGCTGGAGAAGCGAGCAGGGGTGGAGATGGAGCTCAACATCCAGCGTCTGACAGCCTCCACGGAGCCCTCCGCCTCAACCCCTGTGCCTAGCAGGGCCATCCTGAAAAGGCGGAAACTGCAGATCCCCACAGGGCCTATGACCCCAAAGACCCCCATCTAAAGGGAAGGCTCCGGTGCCCTCCCCACCCCCAGCCCTGGTCCCAGTGCCTCTCTAGCTCTGACCTACAACCTCTACCGAATTCCAGGCCCTTAGAAAACAAGCCCCTTATCTCAGTCTGGCTCCAGCCCTTCTGCTGGGAAGTGGGGGGCGGGAAGCAGAGGCCTCCATGGGAAGGAAGGGAGGGGTTGGGGCAGCGATGGTGGCTCTCAGGGGAGCAGGGAGAAAAGGGACAAACAGCTGGAACCCCAGGCGCCTCCCAACCATGGCAGGACCACAAATGCCTTCTGTTTGTAGGAACTCCACAGTTTGCATAGCCTCCCTGTTAATCCTCACAGCAACCTGGGGGAGGGGGACTGGGCAGGGTTTAGGGCAATCTGAGAATGCCACCGAGGCTACACAGCTGGTCACCAAACCAGACTTTTGTCCTCCCACAGCCAAGCTGTCTCCCCAGAGAGCCGACTCTTCCTGGGGGAGGCTGGGGCCCAACAGAGACTCCTTTTGCCAGGTGGCTGTTGCCCACCTCCTCCTAGTCCCAGGGCACCGGCCTTGCCCCAGTGGTGGCTTGCCCCATTGCAGAGGGAACAGGAAGTGTGGCAGAAGGGGGGGGGGCTCTCCCCGGAGCAATGAGGCGTATTTCTGAGGCCTTGTCAAGGGGAGAGACCCTCTGACCAAGGCTTGGTCTCAGGGGGTTTGTCTAGACTTGTGCGTGTGTGAATCAGGGTCTGTGTGTACACGTGTATTGTGTCTGTGTGTGTGGATGAGTGGGTGCACATATGCATATAAACATTGTGTACATGTGCACACGTGTACATGTATGTGCAAGGGTGTACTGTGTACACGTGTAAGTATGTGTTTGTGGGGGTGGGTATGTGGGCTGTGTGCCCACGTGTACGTATGTGTATGTGTATGTGTGTGTGTGTGTCCATATGCGCGTGTGTGTCCTGGGCTGTCTGAGATCTGAGCATCCTGTTGGTAAGCTGGGGACAGTTCACAGGCCCCAGGCTGGGATGAGAAGCCAGAAGCCCCTTGGAGCTTGTCCCCTCCCCACTGCCCAGGTCACTAAACTGACCCCTTCCTTGTCTCTGTTCTCAAAAGGAGAGTCCAGACCCCATCCCTGGAGGTTGTGGGGTGGTGTCCTGCCCCGTGGCCACCACTCTTGGCCAGGCCACCTTGGGCTCCTGCCCCCCTCACCCCATGCTGCAGCCGGATTGCCACATTTCTATTCCCCGAATGCACTGACCTCCCTCTCACCCCGACATCTTTGCACCTGCCATTTCTTCTGCCCGGAAATCCTCCCACCATGGGCATGTGCCCCTGATTACCACCTTCTCAGTCTTCAAACTCAGCTAAGACACCCTATTTCCAGGAAGCCCCCCTGAGCCTAGCCCAGCAAGGGAAGGAGGTGGCCCTTGTGGGGTTCACTGCCTGTGGGTTATGGCCGGGGGCCAGGACGCCCTTGGCCTTTGGAGTGCTCTGCGTGCCCAGCCCACCGTACTCAGTGATTCCAGCTGAATGACTGACAAGGGGAGACTCGTGGTCCAACTTTCTCACCCCGGGACCCCCAGGCAGCACGGACTCTTGTGGGAGTCAGGGACCCCTGGTGGTGGGTCCCTGGGTCTCTGTGCAGGAGGCGGCCAGGAATGGATGAAGAACAGATGCTGGCCCTGCCTCGGCGTCTCCGTGGGAGAAGGTCTGGGGGTCCCCATAGCAGCCCCTTCCCTGGCCTTTCTAAGATCTCTATTTGTTGCTCCCCAGAGCAGTGGGAGGACGCTGGGCAGACTTGCAGGGCGGAGGGGTGGGGAGAAACACACGTATCCTGGGGCGGCTGCCTCTCACTGTACCCCGAGGCTCTCTGGCATTCCACCCCCCCAGGTGCAAGCTCTGGGGTGTGGGCACACACTCTTACACACACACACACACACACACACACACACACGTGTGCGCGCGCATGAGCTGAGTTCAGCGTGCGTATTCCTGTAACGCTGGGCCTCTGGCAGGAAGTGAGTGGCGGGGAGGCTGCTGCTGGGAACCCGGGGCTGGCCCTGCTGAGATAAAGGGAGGCAGCAGATTGGAGCTAGAGATAGCGGTCTGGGTCCTGGTAAACAGGTTGGGGGAAATGTCCTTCCCAACCCATCCTCTTGGCCCTGAGCCTGCAGGATCTATAGGGCGCTGGCCCGGGTCCAGGCCCGACAGCCTGGGAGTCAAGAGAGAGCTGTTTGCACCATCATCTCCCCAGACTTGGGGGGTTGCAAAGGGGAGAGCGCTGGGCCCAGGAGCCCTGGCTGGGCACAGCAGTGGGCATGCACTTGGCCTCTGTGGGGGCCGCCCCATGTCAAGTCCGTGAGCATGGGCTGTTGGGAGGGAAGGAAGGGGATAAGAGGAAGGCTTCCCCAAGCCCCTGTGCCTCCCTCACTGGTGAGGGGAACATGAGTGCGTGAGAGGGGTCACCTTTAGAGCCATTTAAGGAAATTCAAACAGTGTGGGAGACGGAGAGAATGGAGGCAGCAAGGGCGAGAAGGGGCTGCTTGGCAGGCAGGCTCTGCAGACAAACCGTGGTGGCCTGAGGTTGTGGCTGCTGGGAGAGCCTGCACTGCCCAGGCCAAGGGAGAGCCGCGGACCTTTCACCCAGCTCCGTGAGCTCCTGGACCGTGAGTGCCCGTGCAGGCTGGGCAGGAGTCCCAGAGCCTGGCACAGTGGGAGCTCAGGTCCACTTGGGGTTTTTAAATTATGACACAGCCCGCATCATAATACAGAAAAGCACAGAAGCATATTTGTAGATTTTCAAAAATATATAAAATGAACTCCCATGTCATTGCCACTCCGATCAAGAATTAGAACTTGGCCAGGATTCCAGACGGTTCCCTGCATTCACAACCCCTCCCTCTGCTGGAAGTGACTGCTGCCGTTCTGACCTTTGTGATCATCACCTGCTTTTCTTTATGGTTTTGCCACCATGGATGGTTCCGTTAGTAAAAGCCGGGTGCTGCTACATTTTGAACTCGATACAAAGGGACTTGGTGTGTGCCCTTGTCAACCTGGCTCCTTTGGGTGGACTTTATGCCTGCGAGGCTCATCTGAGTTTTAGATCTAGCTCATTCTTTGCCACGGCTGTGCGCGGAGGCCACAGTTTATTTCTCCATTCCACCTGTCGGGGACCGTGGGCTTTTTTCAGATTGGCTTACCGGCAGTGCTGCTGGGAGCAGTCACACTTGTGTTTCCTGGGGCACCTGTGTGCACGTGAAGGGCAGGCACCTGGGGCGGAACTGCTGAGGCTGCTGCGATGCTTATCTCCAGGGTGACAATACCGAATGCTTTCCCAGCGAGGGGCTGGCATGATTGCCACTCCCACCTTCCCACCTGTCATTTGACATTATCAGACTTCATAACTTTAGCCATTCTGGTGGACGTGTGGTGGCATCTTTTGACTCGATCTGCTGTTTCCAGTAGCTAATAAAGTTGAGCATCGCCTCTGACGTTTGAGCCATTCAGATTCCTCTTCTGTGAGGAGCCTGCGTAAGTCGCTCTCATTGATTTGTCAGAGATATTTACATCCCCGGCACACTTAATCCTTGTTAGTTATATTTACTGCAAAAACGTTCCCCCCTTTCTGGGGCCGGTCTTTTC